GGGGGGGAGGGGGAGAGAGGGGGGGAAACTAAAACAAACCACCACCACAAAAAAACCCACAAAGTCAAACCTACTTATGTTTCTCAACTGGCCAAATACATCTTTCCACTGAAATATGAAAATATGGGAGACAATACTATAGTCAAACTTTCATCTCCATTTATGAAAACTTAAAAAAAATACTATAATACAGATTACATTACATGGAGTATTGCTTACCATGGACATCTGGGGATCTGGAATCTTAACAATTTCAGAACTTGTTAAAATTGGAGATGACTCATCACCATCCTGATGACAAAAAGTTAAATTCATATTAAACATCTCAAGTCTTAGGAAAAAACATGTTACATTTATGCACTGTGAATTATACTACAGTGAAAGACTGATGCAACTGCACCTTGCTGACTTTTGATAGTTATAAAGGGAAAATAACAAATAGATTTTTTTTTCTTGTTAGTTTTTGCCAGATGGTAAACAAGGTGACAAGAGAGATGAAAGTTCATCCAAGAAGATCTAGCTTGGCAACTCACTACCATGCTGGCACACAGGTGAGCAGAGAAATTTGCCATTATCTTTACATGTGTCCTCTGGAAGCACAAAGAGAAACCAAATTAGGGTCCATATTGCCACCAAAACCAAATCATTTCCTAGAAATAACAACCATGTTGCAGAAAATATCTCCTAATAGTTCAACACAGATGGATTTAGGAATATATACCTGTCTATCTATCACGGGTTCCACATGGAGCATGACAGTCTCTTCTAGAAGTTCATGCTGTGCTGCCCTGGAGCAGTACGACAGGAGCCTGCTACTTTTCCTTAGGGGAGTCTAACCTGCTGCTGCATAAATAAGGGAAAGGATAAGCTAAAAGTTTCCTGTTTGAACCAGGCAGAAGGAAAAAATACAAAGTCTGCCACCACCTGACAAAACAGCAACTCTGTTTACCTCTTCCAGGCACACCCAGCACTCTGGTTTTGGGTTTTTTACCTTACAAGTGTCCATTAATGCTTAGTCACACTATCTATGGAAGAACATTTAATTCAGAAGACGGTATAAGACAGTATAAAACAGTAAAACAGAAAAAAACCCAACACCAGCATAATATGTGCTATGCTATTTATTTCGGAGTAAATTTCAGGTCAGAATAAAGGTTTTTTTGACATATAAGCATTTCCCTCAATAATTTCAGTTTTGAGATAACTTGCTCAGGTTTGCTTCTGCCCCCAGCCTTCTTTTTTTTTTTTTTTCCCCTCCTGCTTTTCCAATCACATATGCCTCTTGGGATGGCTTTGCTTTTACACTTTTCAGAGGTAACTTTAAAAGAATTGAGGAGCTTGTATCAAGGGGAAGAAAAGACTCATTCGTCACAAAGACACTGGAGTTAAAATTGCCATTAACCTTTCAGGAGCAACATTTTTTTCCAGCTACATAAATTTTCTGTTGCTGACTACAGAAAAGAAATTTCTTATTATCAAAATGCACATTGAGGAAGACACTTCTATTACATATATTAGTGTCCTATGCTTTCTGAGGTAACAATTTTACAGTCAAAATAATGACAGTAACTACACACACATCCTTCCCAGCTACTGGAAATATACAATCTGGCTGTGCCTGATGATAGACCCAGAACAGGAACACAATTGCTTTTCCCATTAGTTTTTAAATAAGTATGCATGCAAACACTGAAGAGGACAAAGAGGACATTTGCTTACAGTTTCTCTGTTTTAAAACCATACTATCTAAATAAAGAACTTAGCTTTAACCTAACTGTATAATTAATAGTATTTCCAAAGTATTTCTATTATAACAAAATTATACCATAACTATAGACTGAACTGAGTTGGAGCCACACTCACAGATCAGCACTCACATTGTACTAAACCTTTGCCATCTCATCAGGTAGAACTCAGATCATCTCATACTAGTTTTACAAAGCCAAATTACAACAAAAACAATTAAATTGTTTGGGGGGGAGAATCCTTCTGAAAATAAACATATCTGATGACAGAGATAACAGACCGATTTCTATCTGCTAACTGGTTATCTTCTTCATCAAAACCTTAATAAGGCTGCAATCTTACTTGACCTTTATTTAACAATAAAGCATTACCAATGTTTCAGTAACAAATGTGTTTCCACTCTGTTTAGATCCTCCACATAAAAGCACTATAGGAAAAACTTAACACAGGAGTGGATTAACTAGCAAATGCTCAAACTCCTACCGAGGCATTTATACCATCTATATCCCATGCAGATTCTCTAGTGATAAGCGGTAGTAACACCCATACTACATCATCTTTCTCTTAGTTAAAACATTCAGATAGAATAGCTGTAAAAGGAAAGTCTGACAAAGCTTACAGGCTGGTGTCCTGGTTTCAGCTGAGACAGAGTTAACTTTCTTCCCAGCAGCTGGTGTGAGGCTGTGTTTGGGTTTGTGTTGAGGAGAAGCTGATCACACACTGATGGGCAGAGCTGCTGCCAGGACACTCAAGGACTTTCCAGCTTCTCTGCTGGGCCCGTGTCTGCAGGGGCAGGAGGAGCTGGGAGGGAGCACAGCGCCAGTGACCAGCCCAGGATTCCACCTCAGGTTTAGGATTGAGACCCAGATTGGCTGATGGTCTGTTCCATCCCATGCCCGGCATGCCCAGTATAGAGGTGAGGCTCTGTCCAGAAGTGCTCTCTCTTTCTGGGTCATCTCGCCCCAGGTGGTACCTCTCCCAGGGTCATCTCCCTCCCTCGGTCAGCTCTTGCTTTCTCGGACACTCAGGCTCTTATCTCTGTTCTAGGATGGTGGTTTTGGGACTTTCTCTGCTCCAATATCATTATCTGGGAATGGGCTGAGCCCTGCTCATCAGGTGGTGAGCAGTATCACTGTGTATCACTCATTTGTATATTTGTATACATATTTCTATTATTAACATTATTACTATTTCCAACATTCCTGTAGTTTATTTATTAAATTGTTCTTTTCTCAACCCATGAGTCTCTTTTCCCTTCACCACTTTCTCTCCCTCATCCCTGTGAGAAGGCAGAGGGTAGGCTGAGAGAGCAGTGTTGTGTAAAACCACAACACCTGGTAAAAATGGAGCACCTACCCCACAACCAAAAGCCTATGACAGCTATTACCAACTCAGAACTTATTAGGATGAGAATGACACAAGCACAATTGCCTAAAATTTGCTTATTTACAAAAATAAAAATAAAAAATGCACAAAGCCTTCCTGTGATTAATGTCAAAATGTTAACACCCTTTAAAACCAAGACTGGGGACTTTTTTCCAGGACTAGTGTTAAAAGAATGATTTTTAAACTCACTGCTGACCTGTGCCTTTTTTTTTAACCTTTCAAAACAAATATTGTAACGACTGTCTTTAAGCTCCTGTTCTCAAATGCAGGCTATGATAGACTATGCTAAGAGCCAAGCTGAAAAGCTCTAGTTATTCAGCTCAAGCACTTAGAAAACTTTGTTCCCATTGCATTTTAGAACAAAGCCTTAAGCTTCAATCAAAACTCGCTACCAAACCAAGTTCTGCCAAAGTACTTGTGGGACAAGCTACTGTAACAGGAGTCAACATTTTAAGAACAAATTATTTTGTGAAATCCTCAAGGTGGCACAATGCTATTAGTTTGCCCATGAAGGACATCAGTAGTTTAATTTGCCTTCCAACTACATTAATATGTGGCTTTAATTCTCTCTCTCATACTTGGAGAGCACAACACGGATCACTGTGAGCCAGAACCACACAAACTTACTAAACCATACCAAAGCCTGAGGGTCAACTGTAAATTAGCATTTGAATTTGGTCAGGTGCATGCTTCTGAAGCATCTCTCCTGATCATCCCCACGCAGTGAGCTGTAGTTCACATCATGGAAGTTTTAGAAATACCTAACATCCTCCAACTGCCAACCTGCTATTTTGCCACTGGGAAACAAAAGCAACATCAATACTAAACAGCATTAACTTGTTTTAAACTAATATGTTACAGAGCTTTAGAGGTATTTCACTACATTAAGGTCACTGTGCATGACCATATATTAGACTCCATTTAAGAAAGTCAACAAAATACACTGAATTTTTTAACCAAGAAAGGTTCTTCTCTACTTTCCTGAAAATCAGTTTCACAACATCCGTAAATAAATAAGTGCTATTTATCTCATTCTTTAGTCAAAACATAATTTTGAGTAAATCAATGGGATCCAACTTCTCCCACACAAAAAGTAAATGAACACCCAAGGCTGTAGACAATACTTTTTCTTTCTTTCAAGCCACAAAAAAGGTTCCAATAATCCGACTTTTTTTATTAACTGTGTGCAGCAGTGCAATCAATTTACTAATTCAACCAAAGGTCTCATTTGAAACCTGCAGAAAAACACATTAATAACAAATGCTGGTGTTATTTGCACTTGGAAAGTCACACTGAATTTTAGCCTAAATGGAGAATCAGAAGCGATGCTCACGTTAAGAGCAGACTGCTCTCCTTCACGCCTAGAATGCTGTATTACAATTAAGTTAACAGAGAACATGGAAAGAGCCACTGCCACTTCACTTCATTGTAATTGAATGCTGAGTCAAAAGAATCTCAAATTCTATCAGCCGCGGTTTAACAAGCTAGTTCTTCGTAAACACTCGAAAACAAATTTATCAACAAAACTGTGACAAGTAATCTCCACTTTGACTATCAGTCACAGGCAGGTGACACCAGAATCTAGTTTCATTAGACTCTGTACACTGGATTGGTGATGCCAGATATGTATTCTGTACACTGTAATTGGAAGCATGATAAAACTGAGAAGATAGGCACTAATTTACATACTGTTTTCTACTGCTGCCAGAAAAGGGTCAAGAACTTCTTGAAAAGCTACCTCACAACAACAAATCCCTCAAACTGCTGTTAGTTATAGCTTTAATATGTGCTATTACACATTCAATTATTTTATTTCCACAACAGCTGGCAATTTATAGTTATTTTGTTCCATACTCTATTAATATGCTTCAGAAACATCTGTTGAAGGAAAGACATACGCTTGAAGCCTGAATCTTCTTCCCTCACCTTGCACATCTGTAAAACCATAATGATGACAAAAAAAAAGTTGCGTGTGTCAATCAGGAATAATTCACCTATAGTGGTAGGTTTCTGGAGGTGAGGGAGATAAATTTTTAGGAATGTCATATTCAACTACAAAAATAAAAGAGCCAAGAGGACACAGAGCCGCACGTATCCATGCTCATCAGTTTGCATCGGTGAAAAGTACAGCACATTCTAATGTAAAAAAAACCTAATGGTTAGTAAAATGTATCAATATTTTGATCATATTCTGTTATGCTCTCCAGAAAAATTTCCTTGATTTCCACAGAACTAAAGAAAGTTATTTTGTTTCATGGAGGAATCTGACACATTGTAGGTTTCACTCTGACTTGTAACACAAGGGAGTTTTGTAACAGTAAGGTCCTCTACAATAGCTAGTTCTAGAAGTCTGTGGAAACAATATAAAACAAGTTATTCTAAAGGCAAAAAGACTTGGAAAGCTGCAGAGAGGTCCCACTGTCAACCACAGTCCACCAGAAGCAATGCTGAAGAGCTGCTTGGACGCTCAGGCAGGAAGCTAAGAAAGTTTTTAACCTAGACACCTGCCAAAGACACAGTTTCATCTATTTTTTTTTCCAACTCTACAAGCCGTTTTTAAGAGATTTTAAACAAGCTTTAAGTCCTTCTGCAATGGCTTACTGAGAGACAGTCGTTACAATAAATGCTAGGGGAAAAAACTAAAAAAAAACCACACTAAAAAAAACACACCAAAAAAACAACCACACAACACAACAACACAACAACAAAACAACACACCAAAAAAGCAACACATACTACTCCCCCACTCCCAATTTTGTGCAATCCTGCTTTTTGCAATTTATTACTGTATTTTTCATTAACTTCTTCTAGAACCTTAAGTTAGATCATAGTTCTGCTGCCCAAATCAACTGGTAATGTTGACACATACATACAAATACTTGTAATCTATTTTCCATTGTATTAACATTTTCTATACTGAATTACAGGAGTTTTTTTTTTAAATTGTCACAATAGACGCTGCTTAAAGTTAGTGCCTCTGCTCTCAACAGGACTCCAGTCTTTTTCTGTCTTCTTTCTCATAAAGCTGCATTACTTTAAACACGCTGAAAATTTTAAGACCTAATTACTGAATTTTTTTTTAAAACAGATTATACATATATTGCTTTTTTTATTTCAGTGGGTCTTTCTACAATGCACAGGTCCACAAAACTACTGATAATGCCTTCCAAAGCCACGCTCAGTTAATCCTTTGTTCCATTAAATTTTAACTCAAAAAAGCACTGAAGGCACTGCTTCAGAGATCTGTCTTGTAAACAGAAAGATGCAAGACATTCCAATCCAGAAGTCTTTTACTTAATTGACTTCCAAAGTGTTTTCAGCATGAAAGACTAAACTTTTATATTTGTTCATTTCAGAGAAAACATTCACCAGAAGAGCTCCTGTACAAAGTTTTAATAACTTATCTTTTTATAAAGTTACCAATCAATACAGGTACATTTCTTCTTGATATAAGACATGATTTTACATACAGCTACTCTGAAAGTACTGCAGGACGACTGAAGGAACCATAAATCAAAACATTTCTAATCACTCACACTTATTAAATTCTGTAATCTTGAACTGTATTACACAAGTGATTGACTTCTGCAATCTTGATGCATCTTTACTATTTGATTTATATGTACATAAAAGTTACCACTGACAGCTGTCTGCCGCTATCCTGCGGCAGAATATCTCACCTCAGCAGAAAAACCTATCCATTTTAGGTGCATATGTTGCTTTTTAAAGGTGACCATAAAGCCTGCAAGACACATACCTTTTCGTAGTAAACTATTCCATATTCTTTATCATCACACTTGACGCAACGGAATTCAATCATCAGGTACATAAAATTAGAACTTCGTTTTTCCCTCTGAGAAGAGAACCACCACAGATGGGTGTCATATATTAAAGTGCATCAATCTTCAGCATTCTCAGTACAGCAGTTACCCTACTTCCTTTGTGCTGTAACCAATTAATTAGACTATCAGTTGTTGTAGCAATTAATCAGTTAATCATTTTATAGCACTCTGAGACTGTATCACTTTCTTCCCAACATTCTTACTTCCTTACATTCCTACTTCAAGATAAACATCCACATATAACAGACAAAATCACATTGTTTGCATCTGCAACTTGCAACTATGGACTAAAGGTCTGAAAAAAAGGCGATGAATGATAACCAGCTGACAGTTGGGGTTTTTGTGTTACATTTTGTTCTTTTCTTCCTAAATCATTACACCCAATTACGCATGTCAGATTCAAAAAACAGAAGACACAGAAAAACCCCACACTGTTTCATATAAAACCACGAAACAGACAAGTTAAACCTTGGACTACAAGATTAGATTTGCAGCTCATTCACTTTCAGAGGAAGATTTGCTCACATATGCATTTTTAAAATGCTTTACTTGGAAGTAGTGCCTAGATTTTTTTTTTTAAATTTACATGAGAAATGAGATAGAAGTTACACATAACCACCACCAGGAACATATACTTAATAAAAAAGTAAGCATCCCGTTTAATAATGAGCAACTCAAGTTTGTTTCATGCGTTAATAATAGATTGATTTTGCAGCACAGGCAAAATGGTTCTGCATTTAAGGTACAGCTCTAAAAATCAGAAATTTTGAGTTTTCTGTACATTTACAGAAAAAGAAAAAAGTTAAAAAAAGGAGGATAGGCTGAGCTCTCAAAAAAAATGCATAATAAATGCATAAAAGTTGCATTACTTTTAATAAACCATAAGGGTTTATTAAAAAAAATTAAGTTCAAAAATAATCTGATTTCCTGTGGTCTAATTATAAATAAGAAAACAAAAATCTCAGCACACAAAGCAGAAAACAAAGGCATTCTGCTGTGCAAGATGAGCATAATTGGTTAAGTTTCAGGGCAATTTTGCTCAATGAGGGTTAATACCTCACTCAGACATTTAATTACCGGATTTTTTTTTTTTTTAAATATTAATTCAAGTCTTCCAAGTGTTTTTCCTCAACACCTAAAACTGAAACCAGTAAAGCTGAACAGGTCTAAAACAAAGGTACAGTCTACATATCCAAAAAGCTTCCCATCATCATCTATATCGTAGAGTTAATTTAGTCATACCTAGGAGCATTTGTTCCAAGCTACTCCAAATTATTAATAAATTCTTTCATCTGTGATCAAGTTCACTTGAAGCTGACAACTGGTAAGACAGTTGTCTATTCTCATTATTGCCAAAGCAAAACCCACTTTGGAAACTTAAAGAACTATTTTTCTTTTTATCGTATACACTGGTGGTTGAAGAAAAACAGGACGCATGCTTTCAGTCAGTCTCCTAAGCAAGCGAATGTTCCACATTAGCAGAACCCTAAAAAATATCACAAATCTTGTACAGTACAATGGCCCACCTCATTGATCATTTCTATTTCTCTAAAAGTCAGTCTGTCCAGCCAGTCCACTTTCACCATATGACCTTGCCGATGAGACTTGGTGAGCTGCATGAAAAAACACAATGATAATACTTAAATTGCTGGGAGCAAGAAAAAGAGTATAAAAGTCATAATTTTACAGAGATACTAACATAAAAATCAGGGGAGAAAAAAAAATTGAGGTGGAAAAAATACTTGTGCTGTACACACACAGTAGACCCTTGTGAACAGCTAAGCCATGCCATGAAAATTCTAATATCTAAAACACCAATCACGGTAGAAACCAAAACTGCATTCCAAACACATCACAGAATTTTTACAGCATTAAAAACAGGAACCTATTGTTTCAGTAAAATAACATAACAAAAACATGTATTTTTTTGTATTACTAAGTTACATATGGTAAAAGTTACCAAGTCAAATAAAAAGAAGATATTTCAAAGAATATCCAAATTGAATAATTCTGCCCTTGTTAGGCATAGAAAAACAAGTTCTTAGACAGAGACTTACACAACACAAAAGGTCAGCCAAAGACTTACTCACAGGAAGTCACGGGCAGCTTGTTCTCCCTTTCTTTTTAGTCACCTGAAAAGCGGTTCAAGTTTTACTCCTACATCTACATATTGCTATAGTAATAGCAAGGAAGCTGAGCTGTTTAAAGGACTACCTAACAGCAGAACAGCGGAAGAAAAGATAAGACATGAGCCATACCACTTGTAGTTTCAGATGTGCTGACACTCACTAGTTTATGAAGAATTTAGCAGAAGACCAAACAAATATGAACAAGAGTCATCTTTTTGGCTCCTTAAGAAATCACAAGCATTCCTCCAAAAATCAGCAATTCTTGCAGTATGCAGGAAGAGATGCAAAGGGACTAGAAGACATCAAGTTCTTTCATGTTTTGAAGAAATCAGTATCTGTCTAGGAAACGGCTAGTGAAGAGATCTTCAAAATTATTCCTATTAAGGGAAGGGTTACAACTACTACTTCATCAGCTTTGTTCTGTGGTCAACATGCCCATGCGTGAGCATGTAAATCTCAGCGGGCCACAGGTACACCAACTGCCATTTCTTGCCCAGCTCACAGCTAGGGTACAGGCAACACACAAAGAGTACTAGGACAGCATATGAATGGAATATATAGTATGCAAGAGAACACGGGATACACACCTGATTCACCTAACATTTCTTTAAGCTCTACACCACAATATAGCTTGACACAATTAATAAATATTTTGGTGCAAACTTTGGAAGACCACTGCAACTTTTAAGAATTAATTAACTCCCTTCACTATACAGGAGGTGCTTTTTTAAATTTGTTTTGTCTCCAGTAAACTCTGGGACAGCTGATCTTCAGATTACCATTAATAAACTTCAGAAACTTAACAGTACAAAAGGAAAAGGAAGGGCAGAGTAGGGGAGAAAATATAATCCTTAATAACATTTCAGGATACTGGATGTAACTAAAGCAAAGAAACACAATTTTTGGGTTCTTTCAACTTATCAGCAGGATTGTAAACAGGAGCACAATATAGCAATAATTACTTCCTATCTTATGTTATATTCTGCATCCAGTTCATCAAATTCCACCTCAGCAATATTACAGACACAGAGCATGCCAGGACTTTACTAAAAGGATAATACAAGACTTGGCCTTTGCCCCATATGTCACTTTATAATATACTTTAAAGGTAGAGAACCAGCAGCATGCAGACCAGTTATGATACAAAATGCTGTTTTAGGCAGGCTGGACATCACCACTTAATATGTTCACAAATGTCCTACCTAGTTCACAGAAAAGGTCTTCTCATCTTCAGCAATGAATTCCTTACCCTTACATGTCCACCATTTTAACTGCTTCTGAAGTACTCCCTACTTTTTTTATCTAACAAAAATATTTTTCATACTCAAAGTAGCCCTCTTATTTCCACTACCTTAAGCCAATGCATCACAGTTTTCAGAGTACCACATATTCACATTCATCATTGGCACACAGATTTAGGACAGCACTTATAAAATGTTATTTAGATACCTTGGTCACAAATTCTTAGTTCATTTATTGTTCACTGCACTAGAGAATAAGGAAAATAGTTACTCTGTATGTTTTAGAGGAAAATTATTAATCTCTTAAACCTGCAAACCTCCCTTAGAGAGAGGAAAAAAAATCATAATACAGCAACTAGTTAGGCCTGCATACAAGACCCAGAAGATCTGTAGGCATATGTATACGCATGAAGAACCATTCTCTTGGATTAATATTTAAAGCTTAAAATAAAAGAGAAGCTAGTGCATTCCCTTCAGGGAATAAAGCATAAGTCATCTGCTTCTAAATAAGAGGCATTTTTTTAGATACTATCTTACCATTGTTTTTATCTAATTTCATTCAGCCAGCAGAACACGTGAGGGAGGTGAACTTTTTGTTTAAGTAGAATAAACTAACAAACCACCCCTGGTAGAAACATCTTAATGTCATTAATATTTGAGCATGCTAAGGTATGCCACTCTCTACCCATTAATATTCCTTAGTACAGGAAAAATCTGCATTCACAATGACCCCCAGGATGCAAAGCCATGGCTTTTTCATCAGTAGCAATGTTACAAGCAACATTCACGTGTTTTGTAAGAGCACAACCATATGGCACCTCAACATGAAACGAGAGACTTGCCATAGTATCAATTATTTAAGGTAAAAGGATGCAACTCCTCCAGCAGCCACTCACTGATTTTATATAAATTTGCTATAATAATAAAATCCACACATGTACATACACACAAACCCAGAAGCATGTCAAGAAAATAAAAAGCTATCTTTTAGGTGGAGGAAAGGTCCTTCAGCAAGCTCTTCTCAAGAGTTACTTATTACCCAGAAGACTCTAAATTAGCCTCTGATAAGTCTGTCCAAGAGATAAACAGAAAAAAAAACAAACCAAGAACAAAAACACACAAACTCACCTTGCATTTAATTAGGCCTACTCATTCTACCTACATTTAAATATAACCTCACGCTCAGTAGCATGAGGAGACGTTCAGCAACTGATGAGTAAGTCACAGAAAAACTGAAGCTGTTTGTACTCAAACAATGGCTGTTTAGGAATGATAAATCACAAGAACCTCATCTGCTGTATAAACAGCTGTGCAAATGAAAGCTCTCATAGACACACTACCCAGAAACCCTATTCACTTTGCTAGCATCTGATGGTAAAATGCTTTTATAAATTAACACAAAAAAATGTCAGTGAAAACATTCGCATCTTTCAGAAACTAGTGTCTTGCAGAACAGCTTTCAGAAGAGAAGATGGTGGCAGTGATGTTATTAGCTTTTCATTAGCCATTAACTAGAACTCTCAATTGGGATGTGAAAGAATTCCCTCCTCTTCCTCAGAGGCTTTCTGCCCTCATCTCTCACGTGCCAAAAGAAGAAGCCAGAACAGACCCAGGTATTTTGAGACTGAAATACTCTACATTATTTTTATTTCTTGAGCTAGGGAGCAGAAGGGAGTGAAGGGAAGAGAAGAAAAAATGCTGGTAGGGTAAGTTCAAGTTTGCATAACAGAACTAACGTGAAATGGAAGGCCTACACTCTAAAACTTCTCCTCAGAGACCCACTGCCTGCATCACATAAGCATCTGATGAACTATAAACAAGCCTTGATATTTAGTGTCTGTCTACAGAGCTTCTAAGGCTAGAGGGGATTTATTCTACTACGATCAAGAAACCGGGCACCACCGCTGGCAGAAAGCTCTAATGAGTTTTCCATTGCAAATGCAAGGTGAACAAGACTAATACAAGACAGACTCTAAATAAAAGTTAGTTTGTTGCTGGGATTAATTTCAGCAGTCTTCTCAGGTGAGAAAATGGACATATTTATGGCACTGGATGTGTCTTTCACTTGGGCATTGTAAAAAAGTAAGAATGAAAACTAGGAGACCAAGACTAAGAAGAAAGTACATTGAGTAAGTGGGTTGAGACATTTTGCAAGCTTGGGGCAAATTTAACTGAAGAAAGAGAGAAATCAGCAAGTCAAACAGTTCAAGAACTAACATTTACTGATCTATTCCAGACGTAGTTTTGATGGCAAAAATACACTCTGCCATCAAGCTGGGAGAAGAAAATACTAATATACACACATATTCATGAGCTTAAATAAAAGACACTTTGGTTAATTTCTGCAATTCTACTCAAATTCTAACATAGACATGTCTCATACATGCCTGAACACTACACCAGACAGCCTTAAATCTAAATGATGGCTACTGAAAGAAACTAGACTGTCCTCACAAGTTACTTTTAGGATCTGCTTTTACTGAACCTGATGTGATTCTGTGTGATTCTGTGATTCTGTGAATTTTTTCTTCAAGCATCAAGGCATGTTCACATTTTCACTGTTTACACAGAATTAATATGTTAAGTTGTTACAACAGAAAGCTGTGTATATTAAAAATACTTGTATGTCCTGTTTTAAAAAATACTTCAGTAGCAAATGAGGATGATCTACTTTACTCACTTGTATTAATCCTGTGAAATATATAAGCAATCTAAAGAAGACAGCTTTCACATGGGAAAATAACACAAACAGCCTGTCTTCATTAACACCTGTCTTCATTTCACTCCAGTGAAAGTGCAAGGTTTTCACATACATTTTAAAGGTTACTTGCTACTCCATTACCTTTGCCAAGCGGCTCATTTGATCTTCAGAGACTGTGCTGCTGGTTCTCCCAGGAGTTTTGGTGGGCTCTGAGCCATCAGCTTCTACGTTGGGCCAGACTTTCAAATCATGCATTCCTTGACGAAACATACTGTAGGTGAAAATGCAGAATCGCTTCAGTAAATTCAAAATAATACAGCCGTCAGGAATCAAAGTACAGTGGCAGCTACAAGAAAATGAAGTAGCTTCCTTTGTCAAACTTACAAACATGCATTACCACATATAATTTAACTGAACTGCAAAAATGCCTTGCACTTTGTGACCTTTACAGCCATTTTTATTGGCACGCAGAGTTTAGAAAAGAGTAAGTCTGAGACAACTTATTTGGCAAGTGGAAGAAGAATGGGGAATGCCCAAAGTTAGCAGGGCGGTAAAAATGCAAACTGAGGCAGAGCTTGACCTTTTTTTATTATTAGTTTTATTATTTGTAATGAAGCAGAAAGTATTCCTTTTGACTTGCAAATTAAAATACTGACTTCAGGTCTGCCAATGGGAAAAAAATTCCACAAAAAAAACTACCTAAACTTCATTTGAAGGTCAACTGATATAAAGTAGCCTACAGACCTGCCAAACAAATAATAAGAAAAAAGGCACAACCCTCAACCTACCATTTTCTCCATCTATGCTTCAAATTGAACTGCTAATTGAAACTGTGCAGTGAACAGAACTCTGCAGGGTAATTGACCACACCTTTTCCCTGCAAAACTCTGCTTCCCTTGCACATTTGTGCTGATTCACCTATAACAGACACCTCAAGAAATCAAGTGCATTACTTTTGCCAATAAGAGGTGGTCACTTAACTCTAACAACTTTGGGTAAATAGAACTGGAAAGAACATTTTAAAAAGTCAAACATAAAAATGAGAAATACTGACTAGAAGGCCCATCTGACCCTGAATTCACACACCACTTTGTGGAATTCTACTACAGTGGTTTCTGTTTACAAGCAAATACAAAATTTCAAAGATATGTGTTGCTTTCTGTCAATTTACTTCCCACAGGCCCCATATGCTGGAAAGAAAAGTAAGTTTAATTTATAAATCATATCTTTTTCCACGAAGTATGCTCTAATGCTTTAAAAACTACTAGAAGTCTTTGGGGCACGGTCCAACTGATTCAGTTCATTTTTCTGCCCTGAGACAATGTCAATCTTTTTGTCAAAGCAATATCTTCAGTGACAGAGATACAAACTCTCTCTACAGTCATTTTCAACGTTCAAGTATCACTAGGACAGCTTTCCTAATGCTAACCTAAACTTGTCCTGCACTTCAGTTCAGCCTTATTACTTTTATCCACTGACAAGACAAAAAAAGGCGCTCTCTCCCCATTTTCCAATGCTACCTGCATACTAGAAAAGTGTTCCCACAGTCTTTTCTTTAGCCTCACTACTCTTTACTCCTCCATCTATTTAATAGACTTTCAATGATAGACACTCCCTTAGATACACAGTGGTCAGCAACTTCCCTGAAGTCAGTTATATAGAACTGAACATAACCCAGACAGACAGGTATGGAGACAAAGGATACAACATTGTCCCTGATGTGCATACTTCTGTTCACATATTCAACGTTGTTTGCACATTTCACAAGAGCACCATGATGCTGAGCCATGTAAGACTTAAGACTCACTCTAAAACCCAGCTCTTTTCCTCTTTTTTCCTGGGCAGCTCCTCTCTTCTGTATTTGACTGAAATCAATTGCGAACAGTACCCACGTCTCACGCTTTTTCTTAACCTGCATCCTATTTTTTTTTCAGTCCCGTTTGCACCTAGTCAAGATCCTTTCCATGTATTATCACTTTCCAGCACACTTGTAATCCTTCCTGTCTCAGTGTTATCATCACAGATTTACTAAATCCACCCTCCACTGGATCACAGATCATTAATTTTGAAAACTCCTGATTTACTGAGTTACATTTTATTCCTTATAAATAATACTGCATTAACAGCCCAATTGCAAGATAATTAAATAAATTAAGTATTAGCACCCACTCATTACAGAAGTAGAAACATGAAGTGATTTTAGCATTTGCTTCCTTAAAATTCAAGCTTACAGATCTAGAAAAAAAAAAGCCTAAATGTTGGGTTTATACAAGACTTTTTTTTTTTTTACAGCACTGTAGCATGTATGAAAAGTTACACTCAGAAACAGAGTAAATCATCTTTGTATCTGAATTTTCAAACATAGAACTGTTAAGCTGGTTTAAATTTTTTTTCTTAAAAATCTCTCATAACCAATGCCACCTTACTCTTCACAAGTGACCTCCAAATCTGTACCACAGAAGAAAAAGTCGTATACCCATATTTCCCAAAGAGCGAGACTGTTGTTCCTCCCACAGGAACAGCTTTACCAGGTCCATATACATCCCAGATGGTCAGAGCCACCTGCGCGTTGCGAGGCAAATCTGGATACTTCACAGGCAGTTTCAGCCATTCATTCCAGCTGCAAAGAAACACTTTTTATTAGTCATAAAGCTTTAAAATTCAAGTTACTCTGTAGCAGTTTATACAACCCAGCTTCTTCTTAGAATATTAATTTCTAAGGGAAGATGTACTACTTTCCTGTGGGCTTTAGCCATTTAAATACTTGTCTTGAGCATGCTTAGAAGGCCAGAGACCAAAGGAAAAATACTCCATCTTCATGACTAAGTACCAAAGATCAGTCTGCCCAGTAAACAGTAAGAAAACGTGCAAGTCCAGGACCCAGAAGTTATTTAAGTAGTGAGCCATGGCAAAACACATAAGTAACAATTTTATTACCTACCCATTACACAAAAAGGTTGGTTTTGTACTGTCAGGACAATACTTAATAACCATACAAACACTTGATGAAACATAAGTTACTTGAAAAGACAAAAGAAAACAAACCTTTCTGACACAAATAAAAACTGTACAGATTTATTAAATAACTTGATGGCCTGGTAACTAAGAGGAAAATGAAATAAAAGAATAAAGGCAGTCACTTACTTCCATCTAGTGCTAAAGGCTTTGTAGGAAGTTCTAACTGGAAGAGCAAGAGGCTTCCCTTCTGCAAATACCTGACAAGTCACATACAAGTCAGAGCAAGTTTCTTGATACAGTCCTGAGAACTTCAGCATTGGATCTTCTAAGAGAGCTTTGTAACTCTTCTGTTCTCTTTTTCCTTCCAGACTTCCTCTGTGTGGGGGAAAAGAAAAATTAAAAAGAGAGGGGGGGAGAGAAAAAAAAAATTAAACCAAAATTTATTTAATCCACAGTAAAAATCCTATTCTACTTCCTATCCTCACTTTGCATTACTAGAGAGTAGTGAAATAGAAATATCACAGAGGAACTCAGGGTGTGAAGCGATGAACAAATACAGCATTTATTGCGATATCGATTTTTTTTTGGGGGGGGGGGGGAAGCAGGGAAGGGAAGAAGTACTTGTTTGTCTTTTCAATGGAGATAACTTCTAGTACAACCTGTAGATTCTCAGACAGCATCAAATGAGGTACACTAAGCAGGGCAACAATTAGATGACATATGCTGCTATTATTAAAAAAACAAAACAAACATCAGCACACGTGTGTTCTGAATACTGTTTGGAAAAAATAAAGTTATAACAATGCCTTATTTTTAAGCTGTATGAAATTTATGACTGGCTTTGGATGCCAGTAATCTCTCAAATCAACAACAAATCAAACCTCAACTAGGCAGGCTATTCAAATCAAACATTATTAAAGGCCTGCAACAATTCACCAAATGTTAGTGTATAGTGTAAACTGATGGAATTTCTCAGGCCTTATCTATACCATAATGAAAACAATCATGCATATTAAATATCTGACTGTGGATGCACATGAGAAAACAAAAAGGGAATTGCGGTGCTGATGGGAAAACAGGTAAGATCCATCTTTCAGCAAACAAAAATGTATCAAAACACTTCAAAGTTGATGAACAAGGTTCTTGCAAGAAAGTAGCATAGCACATTCCAACTCTGATGCACAAAAAGAATCCTAGTTACATTTTTGTTAGGCAGAATGAATTACCAAAGAGGACACATGGATTTGACTTCAGCTATGACCTTCCATTCGGAAGTTAAATAAATCCGAATAAACTTTCCCAACTTAGTTTTCCGAAAAAGTGCAATATACTTTAACACAGCAACATTAGGTACACCACATTTTAAAGCCAGCTACATCCCCCCTACACAAATGTACACATCCCACTGCTATGATGCAGAAAAATCTCAAAAATAATTTAAAAATTAACTAGCAAATACATAATAACAGCTTCAAAAAGAGTGCTTGCATGTACCCGTTTAGGAACATACTTACACCTACCTGGATCTGCCTACAACCAAGAACCCGACCAAAAGTAACGTGCTTTCCAGGGAGCACGCAAACAAGTAGGAAAAAGTGTGTCGCTGGATTATCTCCTTCCCCTAACAGCGAGGACGGGGCTGTGACACAAGCAGGTGAAAGGTTATCGGTGACATTAGTGCATACCTGAGAATCAATCTTTGCCTTACAGCACCGTCCTGCAGGACGGGACCCAAGGACATGAAGTTTCATAAAATCACAGAATGGTTTGGGT